CTGTGAAGAAGGTAGTTTCTCCCTCTCCCCCACCCCGACTTCATGCGCCTGTCCACGGACATGTGCACACACACGCCACAGAGACACACAAATGCCTACATGCTCAATTTATACATAAAACACATGAGGCAAAAATTATCATGACTTCAGAAAATAAAGAATTTGAAAATTTACACTTTTATTCCTGAATTATTTCCTTAATGACTCTACTAAATAGTAAATCTTGGTGATGTCTTAAAGGAAAATTTAAAATATTTGGTCCACTTCTACTTTCTGGTTTGATGAAAATACTCATGCAACTCTCAGTTACAAAAAATAGAAGAGCTGCCTTTCTTCACAACTCCAATATTTCCATATAGATGAATGATTTGAGAACTAAATCATCTTCAAAGTGTAAAAGTTTACCTAGTTTTACATGTAGGGCATATCTGCCAGTAGTCATCTTCATGAAGAACTTGGAGCATAGAGCATTTGTGGACTTAGCAATCTGCTTCAATGTCTGTTAATTTGGTTAGTAACAGAGGCAGACCTCATCTTCCTAGGTTCAACAGTTTTAGCCTGCCTATATAGTTTTGCTGCCAATATTTTTTTCTTTATAATCTGTGTATTAAAAATTACTTAGTACTCAGTACATTATTTTACAACAAGAACTTGGATAAGGAAGAAATTATCAAGATAAAAAAGAACAGAAAATTACAAACAGGGCAAGGTCTCTAAGAAGGACTTTAAAGTAGTATTGAAGGGGGCATTATTACAGAGCAAAGCAGCCAGCTTTACATAAGAAATGCAAGAATCAAGAGTTTATCTTAAAAGCATGTTAAAAGGAACAACCTTCCTTCTGTTCTTGAAGCACTAATCATCAAGAAGAAAAGTTATTATTGATTATCATTTCTGTTTTCCACTACCCTCTTTTTAAAAGTAAATTATGGCATTACAGTTCCAAGTTTTTGCTAATGAATAATCATGTCAGTTGTCACTCAATTATCACTTTCAACATTTAATCTAAATTATGTACAGCACCTTGTTTTTTTTTTTCTTTCTTTGAAGTTCCTCATTGAATTTAAAAGTCAAATTTTTTTCTTCAAGAAAAGTAAGTTGATGGAAGATGGAGGCTGAGATTAAATCAGGGGGAATCATTGATCAAGGATACTTGGAATTCTTATGAATACAAATAGCCTATCAAGGTTAATGAGGTTCAACTCAAGTTTAGAAAAAGAAAAAACTGTACTTAGTATTTTCTATGCATATACAGATTTAGGGTTTTAGGTACAATTTGAAAGGTAATTTATGCAAACCCAAACTCAGCTTTCATTCTGCTTTTTTACAAGCTCTTTTCACTGTTTTTCTCCAGTGTAAAACAACTGCTTAAAATATATAGTCTGGATCAACAAAAACTAAGGCAATTAGTGAGAAAGAGCAAAGGTCCCCTTGAATACTGACAGACAACTCTTTCAGAAATTAATGTGCTTTTAAAGAATGGCCAGACAACAAAAGTTAGCTTTGAAAAATAACCATAAAAAGTGTTCTACAATTTACTACTTCAGTCAACAAATACTGAGTCCTAATATGGGTAAGACACTGTCAAGGGACACAAAGAAATACAGAGATAAGACCTGGTTTTTTGCTTTTTTAATTTTTAATTTTTTATAAACATATATTTTTATCCCCTGGGGTACTGGTCTGTGAATCACCAGGTTTACACACTTCACAGCACTCACCATAGCACATACCCTCCCCAATGTCCATAAACCCACCCCCCTTCTCCTAACCGCCCTCCCCCCAGCAACCCTCAGTTTGTTTTGTGAGATTAAGAGTCATTATGGTTTGTCTAAGACCTGGTTCTTAACACATACTCATTTATGACCTGAAAAAGGATATATGTATTTAATTCATAAGTAGCTTCCAGAATGCCACAAGTTTGAATTACAACATCAGTGCATACTGGTAAATGGCCCAGAGCAAAATCTGTGCACAGCAACATATCAAAAGAAAATGCAAACAGAAGGATGAGCATCAGAGTGAAGGCAGGGGAGACTGTTAGAAAGACAAAAGAAATCAGTTCAACATGCTCCAGAAATAAAAACAAGATCTGGTGAAATAAACAGATCCCTGGTTATAAGAACCCTGTTAAAGAGAGGGAGAGGGTGGGAGAGCCTTACCGTAGCCAGGAACAAACAGTCCCTTACACATCATTATTCTCTGATTGTGTTTACCAAGCAACTTTTTGGTTACTAATTTATAAAACCCAGGTATAGAAAATTGGGAGACTGGTGCCTTGCATAGAAGTGTTTAAATATCCATATAGAGCCCCCACAGGGTACATCAATGAGCTGGCACTCTTTTATACACTGTCTTCTGATGGGTTTGTTAGTATGAACCAGTCTCCTGGGCCACATTAATTCTAGGACACAGAAAATTCAAGTTCCGAGATGTAAGAACAAGACCTTGAAACATGAGGTCTTCACCAAGGTAAGGATATCAAGGTCAGATTTGTCTTAGTGACAGGGCAGCCTTCTTCTGCAGTCCCCTATCTCCTTCATTTCAACTCATTTTGAAATTTTAAAGACATATGCCCTGATACATTAAGGCAGTGTGAAAAATGTGCAATAAGAATATTAGTGATTTGAGTAAGAGGACGGGGTACAGAAGGAAGGACTTTCACTTATAGCTGCTATAGTAGAAGGCGGCTTCAGGAAGGAAAAGGCTTAGGATTTCCACAAAAAGAGGACATTACAGAAACAGTGAACTATGGGAACAAAGAAAAAAGAAAATGGAAATGAGTAGGAAAGTTTAAGAGAAAAAGACTGTGTATAAGGTTTTGGAGGAAAGGTCGTAGGAAGTTGAGATTAAAGAGAAAGAGACTAGTGATTGAACAAACCACAAGGAAGAGGACTGCAGCAAATGTTTTGGGGTCTAACCAATAGTCACATTTTGTGCATGTTTTCTTATTTATATTCAGTTTTTAAAAAGAAACTAAAGAAGATTAATATTTATTATAGACTGCATAAGGCAACACCAATTGTTTTTCCAAAGAGAGAGAGTGAGCACAAGTAGGACAGAGGGAGACAATCCTAAGGAGGCTCCAAGCCCAGCACTCAACCCAACATAGGGCTTGATGTAATGACCCTGAGATCATGACTCAAGCCAAAACCAAGAGTCGACGCCTAACCAACAGCCACCCAAGGGCCCCCAACAACAAATATTTTTGAAAAATAAAGCAGAAACCAAATGCTTTTCAATTAAATTTCAATCAAATACCCAACAGAAGTCACATTGAGTGACCCATGACTGTTATCTTCACAAAGTCTACTCTAGACGTCATTTTGAGAAAAGCTTGGAGATATTCAAAGGGCCTTCACTAGGTATGAAAAGCCATAATCAGAAGCGTCACAAAATCTGAAAGAATGGATATAAAATTTAGGTAATTATTTTATTGTTAAAAATAAAGTCAGGAGGAAAAATAAAACTGGTTAATGGGAATTTCTTCCAGAATAAACAATGTCTTTTTGTAATTCCTTTTTGATGGCAACTGGGAGAAAAAATATTTCATCCTCCAAAAGGAATTTGAATCAGATTTGAGACAAACTCAACTTTATGCATCAATTTTAGAATGTCACACACACAGACAGGGAAATTTTCCAGCTTTTGTTCCTTGCCATGTCACCTCCACCTAGAACAATGCCTGCCATGTAATAAACAGTCATTAAGTATGTAGTATGTGAGTAAATGTTCGATCTCTCTGTCCAACTGTCTTTCACATCCAAACCCTTAAAACCAATCCAAACTAACCCAAGAGAATGCCAACTCTTTCCCTAACCCAGGTGAAAATGTTAAAAGAGCCATCGTTAGGACAAAGGGAAAGCAGGCTCTTTGAACAAGAGAATTATTAGATTATTATAATTTTTTAAATGCCTATGAATGTGAGATTTTTTTTCATATGATTCTGCAAGTGGTAAATGAAATCAAACAATGGAAAGGAAGGGAGGGAAGAAGGACAGAACAATATGTGGTTATAAACAGCTTAGCAAAGTGATTTCTCTACCTTTGATACTTATTAGCATAGTATATTTTTAATTTTTAATATTTAACTTTGGAAAAATAATATTTTAGCACTTTTGTCATCAGGATCAAAGACTAAAATAATACCCATGAAGCAAACTTTAGAAGTCCTACAATTACAATTGTTCTGATAATATTTCTGATAAATATTTACTATGCATGTAGAGGGCTTTGTAGAAAGTATGCCAATATTTCATTATCTTCATAATCTGAATCTTGATCCAAATCTAAAATACATTTTCCACTGATGCACTGACAAGATGAAAGAGAAACTCAAACTGCAGTAACATTAAATATTTCCTTTGGATTATATAAAGTTAGGTGTCTTTAACACCAATTTTCTACCTTTCATTATAATTTAGAAAATTCTTCAAATGTGGTATCTTATTACAACTAGAATACAACTCCACTAATAAAAACAGATACAGAAGAGGACTGCTACATATCTATTTCCAAATGTGTCATCCAAGTTTGATATAATATACATAATTATATTGGAATTAAGACATTTATTTCCTTTTTATAAGGTTCTTTCTTTTGATTTTTAATAGTTTTGAATAACTATCCCAATTCTGCCTCATGTAGAGCTGTGGGAGATTTAAAAACCTTTATGGTACCCTTTTTGCTGTGCCAGTTTCACCCCCAAAATAAATGATAATCCACCATTCCTTCAAGAAAGACCCCTTCTATCTGAAGGAAGGGCTCGAATGCCATGACCAAAAACTATTTTCAAGTTTAATAGGTTCCTGGCGTTAAGGTCCAAAGGAAAGAGAAATGAATCCATAGACATATCTATGTATAATTAAAGTAGTCATCTACATAACTTTACATTATGCTAGAGGTTCCTAAAATACCACAGACTTTCTATTAAAACTTCATTAAGCAATTCTCTGAAACAAAACTAAAGTCCTTTGAATACAACTTAAAAATAGCAGAGTCACCTCTATTTGTGCTGCAAACTGTGCTTTCTCCTTGTCTCTTCGCTCCATGCACCGCTTCGCTTCCTCTAACTCAGATGCCATTGCGCTGAAGTTCAGCTGCACCCTCAAATCTGACATCTGCTTCTCCAGATTTTCTTTTTCCTGCTCAACCCCTTGAAAGAGAAAAATGTAAAGCTTGATTGTTGTTCTTTATTCACAGGAGAACGTACTTTCAAATGGTACAAAGCCTTGATGTTCTAATATTCCAGCTAACATAACCCACTTATTAACACTGTCACTCAACAGACTTTTCAGAATTTGCCAGCCTATTGTTTCAAGTCTCACTCAGTATTCTAAAATATATACACTGATGTGTTATCCAATATTATTCTATTTTGATACTAAAACTCGAAATGTTATCGGATTTCTAGTACAATTGAGCTCAGGAAAATCCTACATATTTTTCCTTTGGCTTTCATTAAATCTCTACCTCCAAATTCTAACACACAAATACTAAAAGAATGTTCACTTAAGTTATACATTAGCTGAAAGTTACTGAAGTTGACACACAAAATAACTCTTTCTTGCAAAAGAAACAAATGATACTGTTAAATCTCTGTGTATGATCACTAACTAACTAATTCTGGAGACTGAAATTATATCACTGAACAATACAGACAGACATAGTATTTAATTCAACATACTTGGTCTGTGATGCACAGGACACTGTAATATCATCTTCTTCAAACATAAATTACATAAAAACCTTTTCTCAATAACCTTACACTCTAAGAACAGAAATAAGATATATAAACCACATCCTTAAGTCCAAGATGCCAAAAATTGGAACATGTATTATCAATTTAACTGTTTTTCTACTAGTTTCCTTTCCAGGAAAGGAAAAGAAGGAAACACTAGCAAATTAAATTTATACATCATTCATAAGACACATGTGAACGTAAGAGATACCAAAGTGTTCAAAATTGTACATCATGGACATACATGGGTGGAAAATACATAGGCATTTTAATAGCATGATAAAAGCAATGACAGATACTATACAGATATTTTATAGATACAGTTATCATACAGAAATAGTACAAAGGATAGAGTGATTAACTCTATCTTGATGGAAAAACTCAGGTAGAAAGACATAGAAAGTAAGTTAGATTTAAAGAATACATACAGAATGTCACCAAGCAAAGGAGATGGGGAGCTGGGGTGATAATTCAGGGAAAGGAAGCAGCATAAGGCACAGAGGTACAATACTGGATTTAGTTTTCAGATAATCGCACTCAGCACTTCCACATAGCTACCACAGATGAGGGAAGGAAGAGGGACAGTGAGCAAGGTGTTTACACATTGCTAGGGAGCTTAGAAATTATCTTATAGACCAGGAGTTAGCACACATTTTCTGTAAATGGTCAGATGGTAAATATTTTAGCCTTATGATCTCTGTCACAACTACTCAACTCTGCCGTTGCATTGTGCAAGTAACCTGAACAGTGACTAAATGAATGGGAACAGCTGTATTCCAATAAAGCTTATTTACAAGCCTGGATTTGACCCTTGGGCCGTACGCTGCAAAGTCCTGCTCGGTTTCGAACCTGAAACTAGGCATATTTGTTTATGTGTCAAAGTATTTATTCATTTTACAAATACATATTGTAAAATTTATATTTAGATAGGTATAAATAGGCATATGTGTGTGCATATAATATATATCCTTAGAGTGTCTATCTTAATATATAGACATATATTTCAGGATATATATTAGAGTATCTACAAAGTAATAGGAAGATATATTATACAAAATATGGAGATATTAATACATATGAATACATGTATAAATACATATACATAATTTGTGAAACATATATTTGATGTGGAAACAGTAATTTGATAAGTTTCATAATCTAGATGCACATAAAATAATATGGATATATATAAATATATACTTAGGCACACATACATACATATATAATGAAACATTTAGCAAAATTAAAATACTCAAAACGTAAGATATAAAATAAAAATCGTGTCACAAACACTCTCCTCTCACACCCAGGGGACTGTCTCACACACTTCACTTTGAAGAACACTTGCTACAAACATGATGGGTAAGTACAGCATAGCAGTTCAGAATTCAGGTTTGGGGAGAAAGAGATTCAGGTCTGTTACTTCCCAGAACTATGACCTTAGGCAATCTCTTTGTTCTTCAGTCTTTTTTTTTCCCCCCTAACTCATTCAAATGAGAATAAGACTAGTACCCTTCTTATAGTGTAGTTCTTAGAACTTAGAACTGAAGTTCTAAGAACTAATGAATAGAAAAATGCTGCATATATAGTAAGAGCTCAATAACGCACAGAGAAAGGTTTTAAGCAAGAGTAACATGAATGGATCAGAGAAAAACAACTATCATATGATATCCCTGATATGAGGAAGTGGAGATGCAACGTGGGGGGGTCTGGGGGGTAGGAAAAGAATAAATGAAACAAGATGGGATCGGGAGGGAGACAAACCATAAGAGACTCTTAATGTCACAAAACAAACTGAGGGGGGTCAGGAGGAGGGGGTAGGAAGATGGTGGTGGTGTTATGGACGTTGGGGAGGGTATGTGTTATGGTGAATGCTGTGAAGTGTGTAAACCTGGCGATTCACAGACCTACCTCTGGGGCTAATAATACAATATATTTTTATAAAAAAAAATTTTTTTTAAAAGAGTGACATGAATGGTTTGTGGCTTAGAAAGCATCCCTTTAGTAGCAGCAGTTTCAAAGACAGATCACAGAGGAACTAGAATAAGTTAAGAGGGTAATACAAATGAGACAAAGCATGCCTAAACTGGAACAGTGGGAATAAAAAAGAAGATGGGCCAAATTCAAGAAATACCAAGATCTATAAATAGGCAAGGACGAAGCAGACGGAGGAGAGAAGGAATAATTTCTGATGTTCTTTGTAATCAAGTCTTGGCTATTTGGATAAAGGATGGTGGCACAAACTGAAACAAGAAATAAAAACAGTTTTTGAGGAAAGGATCTGTTGACTGGTGCATTCTGTGGAATAGCACATAGAGATGTCCAATGAGAGACTCCAACTGGAGGGCTAAAGATTAGTGGACTCAAGATTTCATTACAGATGACAGCTAAAGCATAAGATTTAAATAACAACCTCTAGGGAGAAATATTAAGTGAGAAACCCCATAAAGATGATTCTAGACAACACCCAGCATTTAAAAGACAAGCTGTAAACAAACAGAAAAGATTCAAACGAAAAGAATGAAAACAAGGAACTCAGAAGAACCAGGAAAGAGTAGAAACATGGAAGTCAGTTAAAGAGTTCCAAGAAGCAAGAGGAAAAAACTGGGATCAAGTTAAGAAAAGTAATAGCATGATTCCTTTGACTTTGACTCAGAAGACTACTAGTAAAGTAAGGTCAATTTCATGTTTTATTTTTTCAAAGATTTATTTATTTGAGAGAGAGAGAGAGGGAGAGAGAGAGAACAAGCAGGGGGAGTGGCAGTGGGAGAAGCAGACTCCCCGTAGAGCAGGCAGCCCAAAGCAGGGCTAGATCCTCGGACCCTGGGATCATGACCTGAGCGAAAGGAAGACTTAACTGACTGAGCCACCCAGGTGACCCAGCAAAGTCAATTTTAAAAACAGATGTGGGGGGTGCCTGGGTGGCTCAGTGGGTTAAAGCGTCTGCCTTCAGCTCAGGTCATGGTCTCAGGGTCCTGGGATCGAGCCCCGCATCGGGTTCTCTGCTCAGTGGGGAGATTGCTTCCTCCTCTCTCTCTCTGCCTACCTCTCTGCCTACTTGTGATCTCTGTCAAATAAATAAATAAAATCTTTAAAAAAATAATAATAAATAAGTAAATAAAAACAGATGTGGAAGTTACTTTGCAACCAGTGGAGGAACAAACAGCAACCAGAGTGTGACTACGAGTGTGATTTCTTATGCAGATTAAAAAAAAAAAAAATACAGGTATTCATAAAGATGAAAATTTTAGAACATTAAGAGAAGGTGAAGAAGTTCATTATTATACTGATATGAGACCTTCCAGATATTTTTAAACCTTGTAAGTAGTTAAGGAAAGTGACATTCTTCTAGTCTTCAAAGACTTACACCAAGAATAACTAGATTTTTTATAAGGAAAGAAAACATGTAACAAATGTACCACAATCTTTTTCCAAACAAAATAAGTGTTAAGTGTTACATAAGTCTTATGTGCATCTCTATGAAAATTTGATGAATAATCAAAAACCTTGGGATTTTACTTTTTTAAAAATAAATTTTAAAATATTTGATGTCAAAATATATTTCAGTTATATCACATGAAACTTAAGTGAACTTAATGGCATGCAATTATGTTAGGATAGGTATGCCAGAGTTTGCCTAGTGAATATTTTCTGGCAATGTGGAAATTCTAACTTAGGCAACATACTGAGTTATGTGTGGGGAATCTGGTAAAATATTTATCTTTCCTGATTTTGATAGTACACCAAATGCTCACAAGAGTTTCTCCAATAATTCAGATATTTGAGTAGGAAGCTTCCTTATGGAAATAATTTATAAGCTGAGCAATCTGGACTAGCCTATTAGAAACCATTATAAAATTTCAATATTACTATTTCTGTTACAAGTAAACTTCCAAAAAGAAATACATCTAGACTCATTAAATTCCACAACCTAAATGAATACCACCACTGAAAAGGTATTCTAATATTTCTCGAACACAAAATATTCTTAATCTACATAAGAAAAAGCCGGTCATATGGTTCATGACCACTTTTGCCAGATGATTAATTTCTGTCACAGATCTTGATCACAAAAAAGACAGGATCTCAATTTTAATTGTATATATTTCATATTGGGATAAAAGAAAATGAAAACATAGGTAGGGGTACTCCAATTTAAGTACAAGGAAAAGTACACACACACATTTAGGCATGGAAATAAGCAACTGGAAAAAATTCCACTACTAGCTTTGCTGGCTCTTTCTAGGAGAAAGCCCCCATGAGATAAATATGTCTGAAATGTGTTTAAAAATAAAGCAGAAGAGAGATTAAAATTGGATGTTAATATCAGCAATGAACAAGTTAAATCTGAAATTAAAAACATAATACCATTTACATTTGCATCCAAAGAAAATACTTAAATGTAAATCTAACAAAATCTGTATGACAAAAACTATAAAACTCTGATGAAAGAAATCATAGTTGAAGGAAATAAATGGAGAGACAGTTCGTGTTCATGGATAGGAAGACACAATGCTGCCAAATGTCAGTTCTTCCCAACCTGATCTACATATTCAATGCAATCCCAATCAAAATCCCAGCAAGTTATTTTGTAAATATCAACAAACTAATCCTAAAAATATATGGAGAGGTGAAGGATCCAGAACAGCCAATGCAATATGAAGGAGAAGGACAAAGCTGGAAGACTAACACTATCCAACTTCAAGACATACCATAACGCTACAATAATCAAGAGTGTGGTAAGAACAACAACAAAAAATAGACAAATACATCAATGAAACAGAACAGAGGCCCAGAGATAAACCAACATCAAAGCAGTCAACTGATCTCTGACAAAGTAGCAAAGACAATAGAGAAAATGTTGTTTTCAACAAATAGTGTAGGGCTGAACAACTGGACACTCACATGCAAAAAAAAAAAAAAAAATCTAGATACAGACTTCTAGGCATGGAAATAAGAATTCCTTTTACAGGATTTAATTCAAAATGGATCGCAGACCCAAATATAAAACCCAAAATTACAAAACTTTTAGAAGACAGGCAAAGTTGTGGATGACCTTGAGTTTGATGATGACTTTTCAGGTAGAAGAGCAGAATTATCACCCATGAAAGAAATAACTGATAACCTGAAGTTCATTAAAATTAAAACTTCTCAGTTCTGCAAAAGACACAGTCAAGAGAATGAAAAGACAAGCTACAGACTGAGAAATTATTTGCAAAGACATAGGTTGTTATCTAAAATATCAAGAGGACTCTTAAAATTCAACAAGAAGCCAACAAACTTGCCTTAAAAATGAGCCAAAGACCTTAATGAATATCTCATTGAAGAAGATATACAGGTGAAAAGTATGCATAATAAAAGATGCTCCACATCATATGTCATCAGGGAAATGTAAATTAAAACAAGATACCAGGGGAACCTGGGGGGCTCAGTCCTTAAGCGTGAGCCTTCGGCTCAGGTCATGATCTCGGGGTCCTGGGATCGAGCGCACATTGGGCTCCCTGCTCAGAGGGAAGCCTGCTTCTCCTTCTCCCAAAACCTCTCCCTCTCCTACTCCCCCTGCTCTCACACCTCACTGTGTCTCTCTCTGTCAAATACATACATACATACATATATACATACATAAATAAATAAAAAGATACTATTACAAACCTATTAGAATAGCCAAAATCCAGAACACTTGACAACTGCAAATACTGACAAAAATGTGGAACAACAGGAACTCTCATTCATTGCTGGTGGGAATGAAGAAATGATACAGCCACTTTGAAAGACAGTTTGAAGGATTCTTACAAAACTAAATATACTCTGACCATACAATCCAGCAATCATGTTCTTTGGTATTTACTCAAAGTAAATGAAAACTTCTGTCCATACAAAAACTTATATACGGATGTTTGGTTTATAGCAGCTTTACTCATAATTGCCAAAATGTGGAAGCAACCAAGTGGTCTTCAGTAGGTGAATAGATAAATAAACTGTGGTACATTCAGACAATGCCAAAAAAAAAAAAAAAAAAAAAAAAAAAAAAAAAGAGGGAGAGAGACAGAACTACCAAGCCATGAAAAGACATGGAGGAAGCTTAAAGGTATATTATAAATGAAAGAAGCCAATCTGAAACACTGTATGACTCAACTATATTAGATTCTGGAAAAGGCAAAACTACGGTAACAGTAAAAAGATCTGGTTGCCAGTGGTTAGAGGGGAGAGGGGGATGAAAAGGTGGAGCACAAGGGATTTTTAAGACAGGGAAATTACTCTATGATACTGTAATGGTGCCTAAATTTCATTTATACATTGTCCTATCCCACAGAATACACAACACCAAGAATGAATCCTAATGCAAACAATGGACTTCAAATGACAATGATATGTCAAGAGTACGTACACATCAGTTATAACAAACATACTTCCAGTGAGAGGAATTTGATCATAGGGGAGGCTACGCATGTGTGGGAACAGGGGGCAAAGAGAATAATTTCAGTACCTTCTGCTCAATACTGCTATAAACACAAATCTAAAAGATAAGGTCTGAAAAAATATCGATGCTAAATTATGATTAGCTTATTGAATAACTTTGTTTTAGATCAAGAAATAAGATGATGAGAGCACAATGTATGAAATGCAATTCTGAAAACGGGAAGTATTAAAGAAAGATTAAAAAAAAAAAACCCACACATTTACAAATCAGAATTATACCTCTCCTAAACCTCCAGTCATCTCTTTGTTCATCCTGAAGGTTCAACTGTTGCTTGGACATCTGAGATACTTGATGTTGTAAACCTTTTCGATCACCTTCTGCTTTCATAAGTTGTGTACGGAGCTCTTCCACCTAAATACATACAGTTAAAAATGACACTTCTATCAGTTTTAAATGCAGGAAAAGAATAACTGAACTTACAAATTATTTCAAATTATTTTTCTAGGGAAAAAAATTACTTCTAATGGGCTATTGTCAGCCCAAGTTGAAGCCAAGTTAATCTCCTTGTTATGCCAAGCACAGTGGAATAGTCTCTTACTCTATTTCTTTACTTCTCCCATTCCTTCCACAAAGAATGAATGTCTTTTCCCCTTCTCTGTGTCTACTGAGACAAAGAATTTGACACCAAAGGGGAAAAAAAATCCTTTATTGTGAACTCAGTCCACTCTACTATTAACCCAAACACCCCCGTAACTGTTTTTCTACTTTTCACTCCTTTTCTATGAATATGGTCTATCTATTGATAAACTCAAGTGAAAAGATCACAATTTAGCATATTTTAATATCAAAGTACTGTTCAAAATAAGAAATAAATGCTGCTGAATAAACCATAAACTCCTTGAGGTCAGTGACTATGTTATTCATCTCTGTTTCTAAAACCTAGCAAATTGCCTAGCACATTTCAGATATGTCCCCAGGAACCACTAAACAAATTAGGAGTCTCAAAAAGACTCAGTTAAAGTCACAATGACAACCTGTACACAGTAAACTTTTACTTCAAAAGATGAGATCAGAAATCACCACAAGTCAGAGTTCAGGAAAAAAAAAAAATTAGAGTGGAAAGGACTACAAATATAAACTTTCAAAAATGAAAGTTCAGACTTTGTATGAATGGCTGCAGAACAAAGCCAGTGAACATTTTTAAAGGTTTTGCAAAAAAGGTATTATGGTGTATTTTCAGCACTAATTGTCAAAATGTTTAAGCATCTATGATGCCTGACATCTTTGCCTACCTAGCAGACTACATAGCGAGTTATGTAAGCCACACCTCAGAACAGAGAAAGGTATGAGTGCGGTTTATATTAAACACAGGCAGAGAGGCAGTTAGAAACCTATATGCCCTTATCCAATATATGTATGTAAGTTACTGAGGTTTAAATAGCAGAAGCACCAAACAAACTCTCATTATAGGCTAATGGGTTACAAAATGTTATGCTTTAAAATTAAGCTTTATCTTTGGTTAAAAGGGACAGGTAGCATCTTGAAAACATAAATATAAGATAGTGCAAAGTAACTTGAATATGTAAAGGTCTGTTTCATGTATTTTATTTCTTCCTTCACTCTCCAATGCCTCCTTGAATAAAATTAAGCCCCTGGGAAAATTTTATCTTACACATCCACTCTCATTTTTACACTGGTTATGCTAAGAGAGATAAATCCTAAATTGGAGCAGCAATCAGCAAGACATACTAGCACAGTGGGAACTTGGTCCGTGTTTTGTACCAGCTTGTTCTGACTCATCTTGAAAGGATTTCATCCTTTGCTTATGTGTTTTAATATACATTCCTTAGGAGAAAAAAAAATTCTAGACCTTCGTGGGTTTTTTCTACCTTTCACAAAGACGTTTAACAGAAAAGAAGACTCAATCCTGATTTAATTTAAAAGCAGATTATCATAGCTTGCATAGACTTACCTGATGCAGAAGTGTTTCTCTGCTGCCTTCTGACTGATTCAATAACCTTCGGGATACCTCTAATTCCTGTTCAAGCTAAAGTTTCAACAAAGGATAAAGAAAAATATCCAGTGGAGCAGAAAATAACTAAATTATTATGGGCACAGTTTAAGAGGAGAAAACTGGAGAATTTCTCAGAAGATATTTACAGCTAATATGAAAAAATATTTTGCTATCAAAACATCAATGTCTCCATGAAAATGTTATTTGCATAACAAAAAGTGAACCAGACGAGACCTCAGGGGGTCAGTTCCATCTCAACTATGACACTCTTTTCCTTAGGTCTCCTTTCTGTCATCTCTAAGATAAGGACTTTATATTAGACAGTCTCCGAGATTCTTTCCAGTTCTAAATCATTGTAATCTAAATTCCAAAGCAATTTTGTCCTTTAGTACATGTAATGTCATATGAACTGAATTAGAATAAAACTTGAAGGACCCCATGACTAAAGTATATTTCATCCAACTGGTGATTTTGTATATTCTTAATATTCCAACATTCCTAATATATTTCCCATTATTCACGACATTCCTAAAATTATAGACATTTAAGATTTCCTTAATAATATAATCATAAGATAAACATTCACAGAAAATGTGCTAGTTAGATGACCAAATACCTGAAAAGTGTGAATGTGCCTAGCTTACTACAAATTGAAAATATAATGATATGAAGGGGAGAGGAATATGCCACCACCCTCTCTGTCCTGCCCCAAACATGCCTCTTTGGTGTAAGGATTTTTTTGAGCTGAAGAGAATCAAGACCCAAAAGACTCAGGAAAAGCTTTTTACTTATCCCTTAATTGCATTAAAGAATTTAGAGAGTCTGTACTAGAAAGAGTGCTATTACAAAGGTAAGTTTTTATATATGATAGACTTATCTGTGAAACAAGGCAAACATTTGTTTACCAAACATTTGCTCTTCTCCTCTTCCTGTGATTTGTCTTTCACTCCTTTGAAGCCCAAGACCCTCTATCCCATTTCCTCAACTCAAAATGGTATATAAGCCTCAACTGCCTGTCTGCCTTTGAGCTCATATTTTTATGGAGCTCCTATAAATACAAAATCAGATTTTTTTTTCTCCTGTTAATCTATTTTATGTCAACTTAATTATTAGACCAGCCAAAGAACCTGGAAGAGTAAAGGGAAATTAATTACTTTTCACCCCTATAGACTGGACATACATTTGTTAAAATTCCTGAGATTACATATGCCAGACGTGTTTGCATCTTTTAACAGTAAGGCTCTTTTGTGAAACCACAAATTTATATTAAGATGTTATTAAGTGCTTAGATTTGTGATAACTATCCTAGGTTATCATTTCACTTGACCAAACTACTACCCATGTATTAGTCGTTTAAATATTGTCCATGGGGTAGTTATGGCAATTGAAGAGTAGCACAGAGGGGCACTGTGGTTCTGGACCTTCACTGTGCAGACGGTAATATGAATCTATACATGATACAACTTCATAGAACCACATACATGAACAAGTGCACATAAAGTTGGTGCAATCTGCATAAATTCTGTGGATTATACCAAAATCAATTTCTCAGTTTGGATAGGGAAGGACAGTTATGCAAAATGTTACCACTGAGGGAAAGTGGTTGAAGGCACATGTGACCTTCTCTATATTTTGTCTTGCAACACCTTATGAATCTATAACTATTTCAAAATACTTTTTAAGTTGGGTTATATAGGTTTTTTAAAAAAAATTATACATGTGGCCAATAAAATATCATAATCTAAAAAAAGTAAAGTATATATAGAATCACAAAAACCACACAAAATACTATCTCACTTGTCTTCTAGTTTCCCTGGAGAAATAAAGAGGGAAGGAATCACACTTCAGTTAAAGTATTTTCAAAATCTACCAAAGCCCACACTGGTCATGCTCCCTGGATAGTATCAGCAGCCTCCTTAAGGGCAAGCATGATGGCCTGACATGACTTGCTTACCATAATGGGAGCATGGAAGCACCATTTAACTAGACATAGGTTGATGAAATAAAAACCAAGGAGGTAAAGTAGATTTACAGAGTGATACAAAGCAAAGAACATTACATCAGGGGCAAATTTTCATTTTATCATACGTTACCTTGGGCTCATCCTTAAATCTATCCATTTGCAAACTGAGAAGAGTTGGCTGTCCTCTAAATGCCTAACTCTAACATGGTAGGCTCTATAGATTCACAGACATGAATATATGTCAAAAGTTCTTAATATTTAATGCACCTATTTTCTATGATGAAAATGAATATATTCAAAACACCCACCCTTTAAACAACAGATCTTTTCTAAATAACCCTGCAACAAAATCAAACTCCCTAAATGTTCCCTGGCAAGGAATGATAAAGTTCAGCTGCCCTCTTAGAAAGGGAGTGGCCAACTGACAAGGTAGCAAATGACCTGTACAATGTTTCCCAGAGCAAGCAGCAGAGAACAGCGAGCCATCAAACCAAGCAACTCCATATCAAAACATAAAGCTTCACTGTGTTCTAATAGATGATCTCAGGGACAATTTTCAAGGCACTCAACAAGTATCACTGGCCCCATTTCAAAGAGCATTACTTTTTGAAAGATAACTTTCAAAATCTTACTTGACTCTTCTCAGTTTCAGTCTGTTTTATCTTATTTTTCATGACTCCCTCATTTTCATCTGCTTTAGCTTCTTGTTTCTTCAATGCCTAGAAGGAAAGATACGAAAAAGTACATATTATTCCAAAATACACATAAAACCGAAAGACACTATTAGGATTTATTAAGAAAAGGGGGGAAGATGATGATTATGAGTTGTACAACATATACAAAGGAATTACAACCCTCTCATACACTGAAGTCCTAAGAACACAGTGATATTTATTTTTATATATCAAATATAAACAACTTCTTGATCTTTCTAATCAATTTCCACTTAGTTGCACTTTCTCCCATCTTTGGGTATTCTGTTACACATTTAGGGAGTAGAGACAGCTAACAGTTCTCTTGGAAACAAAGCTTACTTCCAGGTGAGATAATGTATAAAAATCATATTACCTGTTCAACTATTTAGACATAATAAAAATTAGCTCACTAGTTTTTCAAATTATGAAAAAAAAATCTTAAGATAGAAACATGCTTGTTGCACATGTATTACATATATGATATTTTATTGCTACAAAGAACTGGCTCTTCAAATCATTCCTCACAAAGAGAAAAGAGAGCATTCTTTTCTATATTTGTCTCTCCTTAATGAAATGGAAAAAGAAACTTCAAGAAAATTCGAATTTCAAAGGGTAACCAGAAAAATGGGTTGGGTTTGCTCTACATTAAAACAAAATTAAACTTAAGGAAAAATATATATATTCTTGCAGCAAACTTTCTTGACATTTAAAAGACATTCTCTTTGTTTAAGAAAAATTTTGATAATTCTAACATTTAGATTTAGCAAGGTGTATGTTCAGAGGACACCCAAATTGAGAAAAGCCAAATGCCAGAGGTCTCCCAACAAGATCTATGGTGCCCAACAGAAAAACGATTTTTAGACAAACAGCAAATGTGCTAAAAACCATTTTGATGCAGAGGCACCTGGGTGGCTCAGTCAGTTAAGCATCTGACTCTTGATTTTTGCTCAAGTCATGACCTCAGGGTGGTGAGATCCAGCTCTGCCTTGGATCTCTGTGCTCAGCAGGGAGTCTGCTAGAAATTCTCTCTCTCCCTCTTCCTCTGCCTGCCTTCCACCCTCATGTGTGCTCTATTAAATAAATAAGTCTTTTAAAAAACTTTTTTTTTTTAAGATTTTTTTTTATTTTATTTATTTGTCAGAGAGAGAGAGAGCGAGCACAGGCAGAGGCAGAGGGAGAAGCAGGCTCCCCACAGAACAAGGAGCCTGATGTGGGACTCGATCCCAGGACGCCGGGATCATGACCTGAGCCGAAGGCAGCTGCTTAACCAACTGAGCCACCCAGGCATCCCTAAAAAACTTTTTTTGATGTAAATATGATCAGTCATATTCAACTTCCTTAACTTACATATTCAACAAATAACTCCTAAATGCATTTACTATGTGTCAGGCACAATGCTGAAGCTACTAATATACATGCATATGAAATAACCATGGCCTCCTGTCAGGAAATTACAGCTCCCTCTCCCATGGCTCCAACTCTAATAAAAAGGAATTGAGTAAAAAATCAGAGAGGCATCATCAAAATGAAAAATAATTTTGGTTTGAGTATAGTAATAATATTATAACACTTACAGCATTCACTATGTCCAAGCGTTCTTCTTCTTATATATTAAATACATCATATACATTAAACATATACATTTAATCTTTATGATGTGGGAAACAAACACAAAAGAAAAAATTAGATTTGCTTACTACCTACAGTCCACTGACAAGTTCTTACAACAGGCAGAGTGACATTCCTTTAGGAACCCAGCTGCCTCAATGTTAACTCTTTGATAAGAGCAAAAGGCAATCTTTGCTTAACATTACCCTCACCCCCAGGATCCTAGAAGTCTACTTTAACATATAAAAATTCCCCTGAAAAATTCCTTTATCTCTAGCCCCCAAGATATATGTTAGCAATCATCCTCCAAGCATAGGACCCACTGATACACATCTGAAGGGTCTCATGACTGAGTTTTAACTAAATAGTAATAAATGACCTCTTCCTAACAATAGCTAGCCTCCTCAAGGCCCTGAAAACCTACCTCCAAAATAACTTGGAGGCTTGTGCCACCCTTAACCTCCTCCCAATTTGAAAGTATATAATCGGGCACTCCTCATAACCCTGGTACAGCTCTTTCTACCATGAGTTCTGTCCCTCTACTTTAATAAAACCACCCTTTTGGGGTGCCTGGGTGGCTCAGTTGGTTGGGTGACTGCCTTCAGCTCCAGTCATGATCCCAAGGTCCTGGAGTCAGGCCCTCATCAGGCTCCTTGCTCAGCGGGGAGCCTGCTTCTCCCTCTCCCTCTACCTGCTACTCGCCTGCTTGTGCTCCGCCAAATAAATAAACAAAATCTTTAAAAAACAAACAAACGAAAAACACCCTTTTGCATCGAAGATGTCTCAAGAATTCTTTTTAGGCATCAGCTCTGAACCCCAACATTTCAAACCATATCATTTATAAATCTACAAGTTACCACTAAGCCAATTTTATTAAGAGGGAAAGTGGAGTACAAATAGTTGAATTGTACTGCTTTTCAAGTAGTTATCAAATGACTTTGATGTTTGATATTTGTCCTTTCTGGTAAGGTCAGTGGAATTTGTAATAATATTTAACTCTATATGCTGTAATCTATTCATGGCAGAATGTGTTTATAAATTTTACCGGCACGAGACTACCCTAGAAACCTGAAACTGACTGCAGGCTTATAAAGGGCCTGCAGGTTGACATTATATGGTGTCAGAAGTGGGACCTGAAGGTGATGAACCCGGATGAACTAACAACCTCGGGCATTGTGTACGGTAGTCACTTCAGCCTCTTGCACCCTCTCTTTTTCCTTTTGGCATGACTGTTCCGAAACCTCTTTGAAAGGAACTATACTGGGTTCTCCTCATTACCCAAATGACAGCCAGACTTCAGGGGTTTGAGTCTTGGACATACGTCTCACAACTAAAGATGGCTGTACCTGACATCTGGTGTTGTACAAACCCTGGAGATTTTTCAATCAAATGAAAAAGAAGTAGCAGACATCAAGGTAGACTACTTCCACCCAATGCAAGTGGATTTCCATGCTGCTTTCCTCAGCCAATGGGCATGTGTAAGAGAATGAAAAGATACAAAGATGTTGTTGCTACATTTTTTAATCACTTCATAAAATTTGAACTATTTCACTCCTCAACATCATCATCTCAACCTAGCCCCATTTTGTTTTAAATAAGTTAAACAATTTGGTTATCTTTTCAATATTTGTTCACTGAGCTATAAACCAGCCTGGGCTTTTCCATGGTGGGGGTCGGGGGGTTGTTACAGAGAAGACGTCCTCTGGCAGCTGGTAAGTTTCATCAAACTATAAATAGCCTGATTCTAGATTCAAACTCCTGAGCAGAAGCCACTCCAACTCAAAAGGAGAATTAAGCTCCATTTCCCAAAAGGAAAATATCAAAAAATGTGTGATGTTATGTTAAAAACCACTAAAGTAATTAACACTCATTTTGGTAGATACTTTGAGACTACACAAATATCCTTAATGTTTCACCTACTAATTTTAACTCAAATCCAGAGCAAAGATAACACTATCAGGTCTTTTTTAGCCTACAAAATTTTCCCCCACCAAACCTTATACATGCCACCAGTTTCCTAGTACATTAACTCAGAGGTCAGTGCTCACCAGTATGTAGAACACTAAAACTCTTTGCATTTACCCCCAAGATAACTTGCTTACCCCCCAAAACACTAATAATTGAGCTGGAATTTATATAAAACTATTGTAGATCTATGGAGTACATTCATCAAAGCTATACCAAACACTGGTTATCCTTTTATTCCCTGTCCCCTTACATCTTCTCCATCCTCATTGTTTACTTTCTTTGTACCTTCTGGACCTCCCCCACAGCCTTCTCAACTCCCTCTCCAGGTTATGCAGAGCAGTTTGCCTCTACTCCAGTACTCAACTTTGAACAGTTATACCTGTAACCACACCCAACACTCCTACTTCCCCAACCCTGTGAAGACTTATCAGTTACCAGAACTCATTCCCCTGAAAGGGCAATGTGAGAAATTATTATTTTCATGCTCATACTAATAGATATTCAATCTTTATTTCTTAGAATTAGTATAAATATTAATAATTTTACTTGATATTAAAGAAACAAAAATCAATAAGCTGAACTTTAATTAAACAAATTGTTTTATAACACAGAATTATACCTTATAAAAACATAATTCTTCTGAAAGTCAACTTTTTTAAAAAGCCTAATTTCCATATATGAGCTAGTTGAATAAAAGAACCTCTAATTCTTTTGGATACCTCGGAATCTGCAAAAAAAATTTCCCTTCCTCCTCAGTTTCTACCTTCAACATCTGACCTGTTGTTTATAATATCCCTTTTCCAAATATACACTTTTCAATTATATTTGTACTTTGATGCCCAAAATGTTATTTAATACCTCCCTTTTTTACTTCTCCTTTTACTCTAAGGATATATGTCTTAGAAAAATTTAGTCAATGAGAACTTAAATTCTATTGTTTTCAGTAGAGGAGCCAAATGAGATCCTAAGGAGCAACCTAAAGCAAATTACTGTATTTCCACCATTTCATCTCGAAATGTCATTAAGTTTGAACATCATCTCTGCTTCCTACAGATGATGATCCTACAGATCATCAGTCAGTAAACAAGTAAACACACAGGCAATATTCTAGCCCAGAATACTGAACATATTTTCTACATTACCTAGTTTAAAATAAAAGACAAAGAAAATCTAACTCTTCAGACCTAGTAAATACATATTAATGCACTTTTAACTTCTAAAAACACAAATAACACTGAAGGAGAAGACTTTAAAAACTAACTGAATCAAAATTACAAGCTTTCTTTAAACCTTAACAATAAACTTTAACTCATATACTATCTTTTTAAGTATATAAGGCTGCACTAGATTTCTTTCCATTTGATTTAGATCAAACAATGAGAATTATATTAAAACTGACTCAGTAAAAGCAGTTATAAAAAGAGAAAAAAATCACATGCCAATGAATT